CAGTCTCATCCAGTCTAATAGACGGTCTAAAATCGTTATTTCTTTCCTACACTCACCAATTATAATATATTTCATGTCGCATGTTGTTTCTCTTTCAGTGTTTGGCGCAATTTAAAATTTCACAGCTATTACTGCGGGCCCTCCCTCATCCTTCATATTATTTTTTTCCTCAGAAAATACCACAATGCTTCATTAGATCCTGATCTTCATTCTTCATTTCATTCCAATATTGTTGTTTTTTTAAGAAAATGACAATGTTACCAACATAAATAACTTCAAATAGTGTAGCAGAACCATAGCAGAACTTCAACAGCTTAAAAATAGTTATTTATTATACAAGGGAAAAAAGTAGTGAGCTAAAATCTAATATTTTTCCCGTGTATAATACACCATTTTTTTCTGTGACAGAAGAAAGGAGGTATCAATATTGAGAAGATATTACATTATTTTGATATTTGAAAATTATCGACGTGAAATTTTAAGTTCTTAACAGTAGGGACACCTGCGTTGTAGGCATCTTCATCATTCTTTTGAAGTAATCAAATATCTGATGTCACTTCTGTCAGTCTAATTCTGTGATTTGATTTCAAAAAATTGCGAATTTAGTGGTTGTTTAAAAAATCATGTACCCACGAAGTCGAATGGAACATGAAAGAACTTGCAGTTCTTTCTCGGAGACAGTATTATTGACTCATTTTTCGGAACTATAGCACAACAAATGCCATCAACAGTGTATATATATGTGATATATATCCACAGAGATGAAATGCCAAACTTTTTTCCCGTCACAGAAAAAACACATATTTTCAATTTTTGAAGTAATGAACTGTTTAATACTGTCTGTAGGTCAATCGAGGAGAGGTAACATTTATTTTACTTGATTATTTTGGGATTTTCGCTCCTCGTTTCTACAAAATAAAAATATGAGTATAATTTCAATAGGGTGATTGAAAATTCGATGTAAATATTTTAAGGACGTATTGTTGGGATCAAAATAAGACTTTCTCTTCATATAAACATGTGTCCTAAAATGCACCCCATTTCGACCAATAAAAGTGAGGACCCACCTTATTCAACCCCCCCAACCCCCTTCAAAACTGGGTTTACATAATTTTTGAAGAAGAATGAAATAAAGTGTCTAAACGGATAGGGGCCTGCCAATTTGCAGGAGATTTGATCCGTTAATTTGGTCACAATTTCAGAATATATTTTTTCTTTATCTATCTTACCAGTGGCTGTAGATTGGAGGGGGTGAATTTTAGGACACATGTTCATAAAAAGAAAAAGTCTTATTATGATCCCAACAATATGTCTTCAAAATATTCACATCGAATTTCAAATCACACTGTATGTGTAGTAGGACAAATCAGATGATTTGCCCCAAAATGTCACTGCGCTTAACAAATGTTTATGTTGAGAACGGGAGCAGATTCGTTCCCGAAAGGAATATTTCTTCTCTATAAACATTTTTCCAAACCAAGGGTCACTAATGAGCTATTGGATTTAACATTTAGGCTCCCTGATGAAAAAAATTGTTAAACGCAGTGACATTTTGGGGCAAATCATCTGATGTGTCCTTTCTACACATATATTGCAATAATACTCATATTTTTATTCTGTTGAAACCAGGAGAGAAAATCCCAAATAAAATGAATGAATTGTTTATTCAACTGCGTACCATTGGTATAAAATTTTAAGCATCCTTGTATGTATACTTGGAAAAAATATCAGTGAGATTTCCTGGGACTGGGAGCATCCGAATACTTCTGATTCATTAAAATTTTTCAAGCTAAAATACTATCACCCAAATTATACGTTTGGGTCGTAGGCAATCGTATCCGATGATGATTAAAACTCTTGCTAACCCACTTATAATAAATTTTTATTTTTATTGTCTACATGCTCATTTTATATATTTCAAAGATTATGTTTCAACTACACAAGGTGACCCAGGTGCCAGGTAATACTTTTTGGGACCCCATATGATATACAGGGCAGAAGTTTAATATTAGAAACACCGTTTATGTGCTGAAAAGCCAGCTGAGTTTATTACCTAATGATCCTCCCCAGCGCTAGTACTAAAAAATATTGTTTTTTTAATAGTGGTATATTCAAATGCAATAACATTTTTCTGCGAATTATCTGATTCGTCCGTTTATATTGAAATAATAATCATTTATTATTCAGGGGATTCACATATGGGTTTACAAGTCCACCTTAGCTCCTAAATCACCCGTCTATATGAAATACCCGTTGTGTATTCTACATACAAATATGCTTATCCTCAGAATTTTTCACTACTTATCCTCAAAATCAGCCAGTTTGCAAAATACCTACAATCTATCTGAATATCATCATCATAAATAATTTTCCTAGTATTATGGTTCAAATCTTCGTGAATTGATTTCGACAGGTGATGGAGACAATTATTTGGGCGTGCTTGTCCAATTTAACAAAACTTCAATATTCCATATTCGAGAGATCCTGAAATTGACTCGAAAATTGATACTTCTGGCATAGTCGAACAGTTTTTTTCTGTGTGAACCAGTTTCTGCAGTGCAATGCAAAACATATGGTAACAGAATTAAAAAATCACAAGATGAAAACTGGTTGACTAAAGATTTGGATTTGAGGTATTGTTCAAACCAAATAGTTGCAAGTTTCTTGAATATACAGGGTTTCTATAAAAAATTACTGTATCATCGTAGTCACCATTCAAATATTTCTTCCTTTTGCCACTTTCTGATGGTTTCGTTTTACCAAATTATATTGAAGCGTTGCTACAATCATTAAATCTATAGAAACCCTGCTGTTAGCTTTTTGCAAGTAATTATGAACTTTATATAAACTTTGAATTACTCATAATACAAATTTAATAATGTCTTATCTATATGATCATTTGACAATATCAATAAACCAAAAAGTATGCACACTCCATATAGTATTGATGTAATTATAATAACGTGTCATCCATTCCTGTTCAATTATTCTCAGGTACTCGACGGTTCAAATGGACCACTTATAATCATTTGACAAAATTTTTGGTACAACCTGTATTTTCTGAAGGAATCAAGCGACTCACTTGCGGTGTTCGGTATCAAATATCAAATGTGTATCATCAATTCTATCAGAGGGTGTAAAGTATGTATATTTATGGCCAATTCTCGGGATGTGGTCTGATTTCAAAGATAATTTGTTTTGCTGGAAATTCATTCACATTTCACATTTAGATAGTTACATCGATATTGCATCTCGAGACAAATTCGGTATTTTTTAGAGATTCGCTGATTATAGCAACTGAAAAACAATTAACCCTTTTCTATTTCCAAAACGGAAGCAGAGTCGTTCCCAAAACGTCAACAATCAAGTGAAAATTTGATTTCTCTCTGATATATCCAATTCGCATATTTTTGTTCTTGGAACATTTTTCAAAACATGAATTTTTTTCAAAGCTCTCTAATAGTGAAATCTTCAGACTCTCGATTCATTTTTATCTACATCAGAAACGAGGGGAGACCAGCATTCATGAGTGTAGTGATTCACACGAGACCAACGAGACGAGACCTTATAAAAGTCTCGTCTCGTCTCGCCGATGGAATATGAAGTCTTGTCTCGAGTCTCGTCTCGCAGCTTCGAGTCTCGTCTTGTCTCGCGTCTCGTACGAGAGTCTCGCAAATGTATCGCAATTTCGTCATGCATAATCTTGTTCCAGTCTAGTACGGGATATTTACCTTTACCTACTGTTTAGGTATAATGTACCTAGAAGTAGGAAGAAAAAATTTCAACAAAAATAACATTATTTATTGAAAAGTAAGTACCTAATAGGTACATACTTACATCAATCATCTAAACAAGAAAAAAAAAACATAGCATTATTTATATTCGGAAGATATAAAAATAAAATGAAAAGTAACACGTATATTCTAAACAAATAAACAAAACAAAAATTTTAATCCAACATTATTTAACTTATTTAAGAAATAGGTATCTAAGAAAATAGTTATTTGTTTTACTAGGCAGAAAAGTAGTAGATTGACTGCCGCTGCTGATAGTTCATAGCCGAGCGTAGCGAGGCTAGGAATTCAGCCAAGGCAGTCAATCTACATTTACAACCGTGTGAAACATAGAATTTTTTCTCCAAATGATATAAAACCAATTTTGTGAATTTTTTTATTGAAAACTCCATCATTTTGTGTTCATTCAATGTAAGTGTCAATTGTGATTACTAATTTCATCTGACTTCCATTGAACGTTGCATAGCAACAAACTTTTTTTGCCTAGGCAGTGAAAGTACACCTTTTCTGCATGTTAAGCGGCTGTAAGAAGCCACTATCCCTGCCGCTTGGAGAAAAAAACCTTTATCAGTCAGATCAGCCTTCACGATCGCAAATGTTTTTGTTTTCCATCCAGTCGTCAAGACATAAAGTTATTCTTTACCTTAGGCAATTCAGCACAGAATGACTCATTTATAGATTTTCAGGTAGTCATTCAATTTGCGATCTGTCGTTATTGCAGAATTGCCTTTATATTCCGCCGCCGTAAGAGAGAGAAGTCCGATTTCGTTTCACGCAATACGTCATTTTACAACAATCATGGATTGTGTTTTTAAAATATTTATAAATGAAATGTTTTGTCTATCTGTACTAAATAGTATAAATTCTTTCTCAATATGTTGTTTTATGAATGAAATTCTCAAGTCTGCAGTCGGCACGCAGAAATATTTACCTGCGAGACTCTCGCACGAGACCACGAGAAGTCTTGCTCGAGACTCGAGACAAGACCAATAAAAGTCTCGTCTCGCCTTGTACGAGTCTCGTCTCGAGTCTTGTCTCGAAAACGAGACGAGACCATACGAGACTCTCGAAAACGAGACTCTCGCGGGAACCACTACATGAGTGCATGGATCATTTCATGTGTACTATTCGAGTATGTATATACGAATCAATAACTTTTTGGTTTATTTATATTTCAAATGCTGATCGGAAGATCTCATCATGGTTTTACTTTTTCTTCGGTGGTACCAACTCAAACTTCCATATTCTGTTGGGTCCTATTTCGGCCACATAAAGGGCTGAACCATTGGGACAAACGGCAATTGCATGGGGATTTCCGAAACCCTGTAAGATAAACAATTTATTGAAAAAAATTGAGGTACGCTAAAAATGGCCAGGGATACATGTTTCGGCTATGGACACGTACATCTTCAATCTGAGTGTCTTACAGTGCTTTCGTAAAATACTGAATAGATTCATTTTCAGCCAACCACTCCTTTTCTGATGAATATCCCAAAACAGGTCGATTTTCAATCCCGATTTATGAATGAAAATCAAATATACAGGATGATCCTTCTATGATCAACTTATATATTCAATTTATACAAACCTAGAGATTTATTAGATCTGTCATCACTATATAAACTCAAAATATGTTGTTTTATTCAATATGTCCTATATAAATTGGAAATTTCGAATTCAAATTTCAATGAAATCAATTCATTACATAATCATGGAACAAGACAATCAAATTCACTAATAGCAAATACGTTCAAGTCAAATATCCATTTTTCACACAGGAATCGTTCTATACAACCCATTACCAAGTCAATTGAGGAATATACAGGAAGCAACTAGATTCAAAATTAACTTGAAAAAATATCTGCTTCAGAGACTTTGATAATTCTATTTCTTATTTGAATACCTACTTATGAAAGACAAGGTTGATATTGAATGATTATTTGCATTTTTTTTTACTTGTTATATCCTATTATAATTTTATAATTGTAAGTATAACATTATGTATATTGTTCATGTATCCCTATTATAAACAACTATGTTTCTTGGGGTAAAAAAGACAATCAATCAATCAATTTTCCTCATTTTCAAACCACGAAGACCTACCTACTATATCACATTCAACATAGAAGGATCACCCTATTTTCAAATAAGAAGACATAGAGGTATACCTATACTATATCACATTCCTCAGAGGCAGAAAAATCCAGATTCCATACTAGCGATTTTCTTTTGAAAAAATTCGCGTACGCCACTGGAATCGGCGTCCTCTGAAATTGATCTGTACCTAGTTTCATGAAAACATATATTCAATATCAAGGATTCTATGACTAAATTACTTACTGTCTAACTCATACGTTTAATCAGCGCATTCATGAACATGAGATGAATTTTTTGAAAAAGAAAACAAATTCAACATACGCCAACCATATATTAGAAGAAAACCATAGTTTTGATGATAATTTCAAAATTCTACACGTGAAAAATAAAGTATTGACACTCAATCATTTTGAATCATTAGAAATCAACAAACTCAAAAATTCCAACATTATACTTAACGATCAATTAGACCTAAATAGTTCACCACTGTTGAATTTGTTTTCTTAGTAAGTAATAATATGTATTTGATATATCAACCCTTTCAAGTTAATCCGGTACACCGTATTTTGATGTAGATATTGTGCCTAATTTCCGAAAATGGAGGTTAATCGAACCTGTCCACAGGTAACTAATCCTTCAGGTCGGGATAGTAGGATATACAGGGTGTTTCATGAGAAGACTCACATAGCCAAATGGTTGATAGGGGAAATCAAGACGAGTTGATGTATATATATGAAAACATTTTTTGACCCTCCATAACGAAGATACAGGGTATACTATGTGAAATTGCTATATAACATTGATGGCCGATATTACAGAAATGATTCATCGTAATCTGCTGAAATTTTGCAGCGACGTATCTCTACTAAAACTATTCAAGAAACCAATTTAAAAAAAAAACTATCCAGGTCCGGACTTGGGAAAATTCCATGTTTAATTGTTATGTCAAAAAAATTCACTTCGTGACCACTTTTCTCGAAAATTTCCATCAGATTCAGAAATATCAGACGAAACGCTATAAGAACTGCTTTTCAATTTACACGGCACACTTTGACCGGTTCAATAAAAAAATATGGAACAAAATCATTCGAATGAATTTTAAATCTCGACCTGGCTGATAACTGTCAACTTTCAACTGGTATCATGTGAATTGATTTTTTTCTCCATTTTTGTTGAGTAGTTATTAACAGAAGAATAGTCAAGAAGGAAAAACACGATATTTTTTTATCGAAATTCCAGATAGATATTATTATTCCTGACTTTGTTTTATGGGTTTCAATTGAAGTAATGATAAGATATCTATAGTAGGCTCTGTTTTCCACTGGTGTGACGAGACGTGACGTTTGTTGATAATCCGAACTGATATGTAGGTACTAGGCTAGTACTAGGTAGGTACCAACTGCAACTGATGATATTACGACATGAGGATTCATGTGCCCATATTATGATTATTCCTCAAATTAGCCATCACGCATAAACTCAGCTCCATTTTTTGTTATTGATATACACTTCTGCAAGTGATATAAGGATGCATTTGCTATTTATTCAAAATTCCTTATGTTCATCCTCGTGGAGGTTTTACTGCAACGTATTCTTGAGTCTGCCATAACATTCGGATTTTCGTCTTGTTCAGCATTTGAAATATGAAGTGGCACCTAGAGTGCAAGAATATTTCGATTACCAGTGTTTACCTATCAACAAACGCCACGTTACATAAAATAAAAATAGGGCCTACATTAAAACAAACTTAGAAAATAGAGTCACGAGTAATCATATCCATCTAGAAGTTCAGTCAAAAACTAACATGTCAAATGATAAAAAAATTAGAACTTTTCTCTTCTGTCAATTTCTTTCCAATGAAAATGTACTAAAAAATCAATTTACTTGAAGCGAGTTGAAAGTTGAGAGTTATCAGCCATGTCGAAATTGAAAATTCATTCGAACGTTTTTGTTCCATATTTTTTCATTGAATTGGTCAAAGTGTGCCGTGCAAATTGAAGAGCAGTTCTTATGAAATTTTGTCTGGTCTTTCTGAATCTGATGAAATTTTTCGAGAAAAGTGGTCACAAAGTGAACTTTTCTGACATAACAATGAAACATGAAATTTTTTAAAGTCCGGACCTGGATATTTTTTTTCATAATATATTATCTTGAATAGTTTCAGTAGAGAAACATCGCTGCCAAATTTCAGCTGATCACGATGAATCATTTCTGTAATATCAGCCATCAAAGTTATATGTATAGCAATTTCACATAATACCCTGTATCTTCGTTATGGAGGGTCAAAAAATGTTTTCATTTATATACATCAATCCATCTTGATTTCCCCTATTAACCATTTGGCTATGTGAGTCTTTTCATGAAACACCCTGTATAAAAGCCAGCCAATAAGCAGGTTAGTTTAGTCCATCGTACCAGTATATCACCTGACGAAGCTTCTGTGTGTTAGCGAAACATGTTGTGTGTTTGATACCTTATTGTTCATTCGAACCTATATATATTCTCCATCATTTAGAATCTATATACCTTTCGGATAGTATTACAAAAAAACTTGAACTTTTTGAGCAAAAATCACGGAACTGAGAAAAAAATCTCGAAATTTTGAGAACAAATCTAAAATTGTTGAGATTTCGATGAAATTAAATAAAAGTATTGTGGCGCTAATACGCCGTCGTATACAAGCGATCATGATGGTTGGTCTAAAATATTTTTCCCGAACTCAATCCAACAGACCCCACCGAAATTTTTTTAATGCTATGACCTCGATCGAATGTCATTATAGAACCACATAGAACTATTTTCAGTATATTGGTGAAGATGCAATTCCATACCAATACAAGCCCGCCACTGGAAAACGAAACATGCATCTCTCGCCGCTCGTTGATTAAGCCATAAAAACCAGTAAAAAAGAGAAGGATAATGGGAGGAATAAGAAATAATAGAGAAGATAATAATATAATGTGCCTCTCCCTCTCTCTCACTCGGCGATTGTCTTACCTCTTCGGGCGCCCAGTGATCGATGACCGACTCCGTTTGTGGGTCTATGGTGAGGCCCTGGACGGGCAAAAGGGCCGACGTAGGGCCGTTCACGGCGTACACTAGGTTGCCTGAAAAACAAAAAAAAATATTTGAAATTTCTGGGTATTCATCAAGTGAGATAGGTTGGGTTGTGTGTGTGTTCTTTCCATGTAGGTTGTGTGTGTGCTCTTTCCATGTACCATCCAGCACCACAATTCCTACTCGTCTCATGTGGCATTATTACAATTCGGCCGACTGGGAAGGTCTTCGTATGTTTTTTTCAGCGTTTCCATGGAAGAGAGTTTGTTTCTCCTCAGCAGATCCAACACGTTGTGCTGAGACAATTACTGAAATCATCATGTTGGGGATGCAAACCTACATACCGAACACTGCAAGGAGAACATCTTCCGATAAATCCTGGTTCTGTAGAAACTGCTCTAGAGCTGTCGCTTCCAAACAGGCAGTATTCCATCGATGACAGAAAAATCCAGGCCCTGTGAGACTAGAGCAGAATATGTCGAGGCTAGAGGCATATGCAATGAGACAATTCGATCATCAAAGGATGCTCATAATGCCAAAACTTGTTGAATGTCCTAACGGATCTTGTTCATTTTGGTCCTTCGCCAAATCGCCAAAGCTGTAGGAAGAAACTTCACTTCCAGCTCGTTTCCTCCTCTAACCAAGGAAGTTGGAACACTAGCCACAACTGGCCAGGAGAAAGCCAACATTTTTGCGTATTTATTTGCTGGAAATTCCACTCATTCATCGGGAAAATACCTCCAAACAAAACGCCAATTGACAGTCATTACCCGAGATCACCATTCGCCAACGTACTATAAGGAAGATTTTATTGGGTCTCAACACCAACAAAGCTGGCTTGTGTGTAATAAGAGCGCTCATACCGTCCAACCGCGACATGTTCACTGGAGACGAGTGTACAATCTTGTTAATATACTCGAAATAAAACAGCAGACCATCATAAAATTTCCCAAACCTCAATTTTATGCATTATATCTAGACCAAAATAAGACCAAAATACATTTTCGACACCACTGAACCCCGTAGAGTAACATCATTCCCCAATTTCATCATTTTAAAAACATTATCTCCCTTCGCAATCGCCGACCGAAAAGTACTTTCATCCTCCTAGATTTGAAACCAAATTTTCTATTCCAACGATTCCAACTATGCACAGGCATTAACGATGATTAATTAATTATTATATCTGTGATCTGTGATTATTTTTTTTTATCGTCGTCGAAATAATCGCTCCCAATACAATTAGAACTTCAAACTATTCATGGTTATACATCTCTCAATCTTCCTGCATAATTACAAATCGTGTCAGTTAAACAAAATAATCCTCCCGCTCTGCGGTCGGATTATTTCAACTGTGAAACTGACACTCTTTGTGATAATTATGCACTAATTATCTATCGATGTATAACCCGAATACTCTCATAGTACTGATAATAATGATAATATGTATCGACTTTGAGTATTCACACTAGTGTAATAATTATCGTGATCAAGGGTATCGAGTAGCAAGTCTAAAAATACCAATCTGACGGCCCTTACGGTTAGGCAACTAATCATACCACAACCAATTAACGTGTATTGGCATGGCCATGCATTGTTGAATGTACAAGTAAAATCCTCGCTACCATCGCCTCCGTGGCGCAATTGGCTAGCGCGTTCGGCTGTTAACCGAAAGGTTGGTGGTTCGAGCCCACCCGGGGGCGTACTTTTTTTTTGTTTTTACTTCAATTTCACTTAAATTTTCTCATTTATCTGTATAATAGTATAACCTTCTCACTTGAAATTATTTTTCTCTTCCTTAGAAAATTTGATACACAGCTCGATAATTACAACCTATAAATGAGACAATTGATGACATTATAGTCAGATTTTATACAGGAGTTTTTACAGAGAAATATTCGCCTTTTTTTTTTCGAGAACCCTCATATATCAGATTTCAGCGTTATCTATCAAACAGTTGAGAGGAATATCTCCATTTTCCACGTATGGAAAATTTAACTATACGACAGATATGACTGTCATATATTCAGGCAAAGTTTACAGAATTAAAAATATATATAGGAAAGGCGGCAAACGCCATATTATGGCTATCCTTCGTACACGCCTGTATAATTTTTGAATTTTTTGACAGTGGCAATTCTCAAAACCATGTATGTATCGCGAGGCATTTATACAGGGTGTATCTAAATAACACCGAAAAAATTCAAGGGGTGATTTCTTGTGTATCTCGAAAACGAAGAAATTTAGGACACATGTTCATGTAATTTTTTCGGTGTTATTCAGATATACAGGGTGTTTCATGAGAAGACTCACATAGCCAAATGGTTAATGGGGGAAATCAAGACGAGTTGATGTATATATATTAAAAGATTTTTTGACCCTCCATAACGAAGATACAGGGTATTATGTGAAATTGTTAAATAACTTTCATGGCCGATATTACAGAAATGATTCATCGTGATCTGCTGAAATTTGGCAGCGACGTATCTCTACTGAAACTATTCAAGATAACATATTATGAAAAAAAATATCCAGGTCCGGACTCGGGAAAATTTCATGTTTCATTGTTATGTCAAAAAAGTTCACTTTGTGACCACCTCTCTCGAAAAATTCCATCAGATTCAGAAAGATCAGGCAAATTGCCATGAGAACTGCTCTTCAATTCACACGGCACACTTTGACCGGATCAATAAAAAATATGAAACAAAATCGTTCGAATGAATTTTAAATTTCGACCTGGCTGATAACTGTCAACTTCCAACTGGTATCATGTGAATTGATTTTCCCTACATTTTTGTTGAATAGTAATTGGCAGAAGAATAGATGAGAAGTAAAAACACGATATTCTTTTATCAAAATTCCAGATAGATATTATTATTCCTGACTTTGTTTCATGGGTTTCAATTGAAGTATAATGATAAGATAAACTCAGCTTCATTTTTTGTTATTGAAGGTTTTACTGCAACGTATTTTTGGGTCTGGAAATATTCTATGATATTAAACATAGCACAGCATTTGGATTTTCGTCTTGTTCAGCATTTGAAATATGAAGTGGCACCTCTAGGTGCAAGAATATTTCGATTACCAGTGTTTACCTATCAACAAACGCCACGTTGCATAAAATAAAAACAGGGCCTACTTTATAACAAATTTATAATATAGAGTACAAGTAATCATATCCATCTAGAAGTTCGGTCAAAAACTAACACGTCAAATCATAAAAAAATCAGAACTCCTCTCTTCTGTCAATTTCTATCTAATAAAAATGTACAAAAAAATCAATTTACACGAATCCAGTTGAAAGATAAAAATTATCAGCCAGGTCAAAATTGAAAATTCATTGGAGCGTTTTTGTTCCATACTTTTTTATTGAACCGGTCAAAGTGTGCCGTGTGAATTGAAAAGCAGTTTTGTCTGATCTTTCTGAATCTAATGGAATTTTCCGAGAAAAGTGGTCACAAAGTGAACTTTTTTGACATAACAATGAAACATGAAATTTTCCCAAGTCCGGACCAGGATATTTTTCTTCATAATATCACAATAATATGTTATCTTGAATATTTTTAGTAGAGATACGTCGCTGACAAATTTCAGCAGATTACGATGAATCATTTCTGTAATATCGGCCATGAAAGTTATTTAACAATTTCACATAATACCCTGTATCTTCGTTATGGAGGGTCAAAAAATGTTTTCATATATATACATCAACCCGTCTTGATTCCCCTATTAACCATTTGGCTATGTGAGTCTTCTCATGAAACACCCTGTATATATATAACGTATGCATCTTTCAAGTCATGATTTTTATGGGTCTTCAACATGATAATATCGTAGACAATTGCAGCCTTGAAGTGAATAGGGGGCTTGATGCCAAAATTTCAGGAACTGGTTTTTATTGCTTCGAAGTAGGCTATGCTATACCCTAATAAGACAATTATGTCCCATGGATATCCTTAGGACGTCCTGTCGGGACATTTAGGACGTCCATAGAACGTTCGAATTTGGTACCGTGGACGTACATTGGACGTCTGTGAGACGCACAAATGTCCCACTTGAGGACCTACGAGACCTACTAGGGACGTCCTTGAGGGATGTCCCTGGGACAACTATCGAATACCTAAATCCTACAGTATTTCTCATCAAGCACTACGGAGGACATCTTTAGGACATCCTCAGGACATCCTTTGTACAACCTTCCAGGAACGCTGGAGGATATCGATTGGTTGTCCATAGGATGTCCCAGGGACGTACGAATTATTCTTGAATTTGAATTTTCCTGAGTCCCTCTAGGACCAGATCTTGCATAACTGATGAGGACATCCAGTTGAGTTGATGGTCCGTAGAAGGCCCCCAATAGATCCTGAAAAAGTTTCCCAAGGATGTCCAATGAACTCACGTGAAGGACATTGACGGGGAGTATTTATAGCCTACGAGCAATCATTCGTCGGCGAGGTGTAAGTTAACGTCCTCGCAGGGACAACATAATGAGAGTACCGACTGGGACGTCCTTAGGACGTTATTTCTAGGACATTGGATGAGTACAGTTCATGTACCAATTAGGACATCCGACATACGATCCTGGAAATATTAAGGGCGTCTGTGCAGAGATATTTGAAGGAATGTTTTATCAGGAACATTTCATGGTTCTCTAAAAGGGACATTATATAAGATCTGAAGTCATGCCAAAATATGTATCACACGGGACATCCGATGGATGTCCCTAAAGGAACGATTAAAATTATATTCCATCAGGGACATGCCACCACGTGGGACGTCTAAGGGATGCTATTTCTAGGACATTTGAAATGATGTACCAGCTGGGACATTCCGTGAACGTCCTTGCTCGGACATTGCATGAGATGTACGGGATGGGACGTCCCAAGGACACTTATTTTTGGTCCTGGACATTCGGACTTGTATTGTACCAAATAGAGACGTCCCTAGGACGTTGTGTGTCATTACCCTTTCACGTGAATAACGGGCTATGTGAATAGGTACCGGCAAATAGTTTCATTTTGTACCATAAGAGGTCGCATGAGTCAACTTTCGAGTTCGAGGATATTAAACTTCAGTCTATTAAAACTGATAAATAACGGAAAATAATGATTTGCCGAAACGAAGACGCACAAACAAGTGATGACTACATAAAGAAAGGCAGATAAGGAGAAGTGGTATAGTAAATGTTACGTGAATACTAGAAATACTAAGTTGCAAGCTAAGGAAGAATCGAGTGGTAAGGTGAATTGGCCTATATGTGGAGCCTGTATGTCCACAAGTGTTGTCAAAAAAACATGTTGCCTCCATTATAGTGCAAAAACAAGAAGAGCAACTAGAAAGAAGAAAATTTGAAAAAAAGTATTCCTCAAATGAAAGAAGAAATTCTAGTGATTTTTGAAGATTTTTCTAATGATTTTTGTAACAATTGTTCGTTTATAAAACAGAGATCCAACTGGATATATTTTTTCCTTTTTTTGTATTATTGATTATAGTCCCGTTTGAAACGGTTTATACCGAATAAATATTTTTTTGTCACTTAGCCCTTATTTATTTGAAGGCTACAATTATTTAATTGTGATCGCATCAAGCAGCAGCGTAACCAATCAAAGAATTTACTTTCAAAATTGATGATTCCGAATGATAATGCATGAAAATTGGTTGGAATATGGTTCTGAATCGTTATAAAATTGAAAAATTCCTTACTTTCTTGAAACACTTGTATCTTCTCTGTAAAATGAGGTATTGATGTGAATTAAGAACCATTCTTGAACTGAACTTTCCATGCCCAATACAGTGAAAATAAAATCATTCCAAAATGTCATTCAGGGGTGGTACTACATTAAATATTGCTCAAACTTTCTTGTATATGCATATTTTTCGACAATTTTGATCTCGGATTATGAAAATCCACACCTCTTTACAGATCCGTATCTATCAGATATATCATTTTCGAGTAAAATCGATTCAAAACTATTGTAACATCTCACATATTATGCAGAACATTGCAATAAATCGTAGTGGATATGAAAAAAATTTACAAAAATTGAAGGAGTTTTTTATCATTATTTTTCTATTTTACTCGCCTCTATGACATTGTTTCGTAAGAAGAAAATATTGAATTTTTTTATAGTCACTATATGTTTGGAAAATTAGATGAAACAATATTTTTAAATCGATTTCACTCGAAAATGATACATCTGATCGATATGGAACCAGAGCACATTTTTCCTGTTAAGAGGTGTGAATTTTCATAATCCGAGAATAAATTGTCGTAAAATATGCATGCAGAAAAGTTTGAGTATTAATAAATGTAGTCCCACCCTGTATCATAAACTCCCGAATGAAATATTGGAATGATTTTATTTTCACTGCATCTGGCATGGAAACTTTAGTTCTCATCTCGGTTGTTCTCGTATAATTTTATCATAAGGTGTTTCGGAATAATTCAAGAAATATCATCTCCAGGATTCCATAGGAGACATTTATCGACTAATGTTCATCGACACTGTTCTCACTATTTTTGGTCGTAGAAGCCGCGAAGTTTTGCAAACAAGTTTTGTAGCGACATCTCATTAGTGAGAGAGATAATAGTACATTATACATCAAGGGACAGAAATGCAAGATTTCTCCCAAGGCAACGAGGGAAAAATAGCATTCTGTCCTGAGGTGTATATACTATTTTTTACGCTGGCGAAAACACAAAAATTAAGAATTTGGCCAAAGTGTTTTGTCATAATTAGTAGTAGTATAGTTTGTGGGATTCGTAACTTGACAACATGCATCTTGTTTACAACTCATGGTGACAGCAAATATCAAAATGAAATGAAATGAAATGAAAACAGCTTTGAAAATGGTTAACAGTTATGGAACAAGAAATCGAGGAAGATCCTCAAGAAATTGCTGATGATACTGCTTCTGCAGTAATTCTTCTCAACTTGCTATAAAACTGAAATCTAGAAATCTGTATGATACGGCTTATACTCGCTTCAGAAAAGGGGGGTTCCGAAAAGAAAGCGCAGAGCTATGCGGCAAATGTAAAGTTGGTATGAACTCCCTAGGGAGAAAATATGTCACATATTATCTCCCTAGGGAATAATACGCCACTTCTGCCCCTCTTTTGTCACCAGAGAAAGTAACTTCTACTCCCGCCGGCGTAATAAGAATTATATGTGCATCATACCTCTTGCGGCAACTCCAAAAACTCTGCCCATATCAGGTTGCTGGATCGTAAGGGCAGGTTCCTTCTTGCCCTGTATACTGTACAGCCCAGCCCTGGGACACGTGACCCTCCTGTTTTCTCTATCAGCTACGCACAGCCTGTCTATGGACTCGATCAATGCAAGACCATGAGGGACTTGCAATGACAGAAACTCTGCAAATAATATCATTGGATATAAATTAAATCTATATCCGCAAGTGAAAAATAGGTTTATTGGAACTAGCAGAATCAATTCAGTCAATTTCTCTCGAAATTCAGTGCTACTAACACGATTATCGATTATGAACGATAGATATTGGGTTGTGACTCTCATGACTCAAAATCATAAGTGTTTCTAAAAAAATACGAAATGGGGAGTATCAGATCACAGTTTTGTCGCATCAAATGATAATTTCTAGAAGGTAGATACCTATATAATATCTTGAAATAAAGATCTGCATTTATGCGAGATCATCAATGTTTTTTAGTATTTCTGATTAATTTCGGTTCAACTATCCACTACCCTCAAAAAGAACCTGTCGAGGGAGATGAGAATTGTGTATATCATGAAGAATGGCTGAAAGAATAACTGGACTTCAGGTTACTGATGAGGATTTGATATCCGAAATGAGTTTCATTCGAGTGAAGTCACATAACCTGTTCGTGAGAGATATAATTCCCATATCACTGATTTCAATAATTTTTTTTTGAAGTTTCAAGGTCATCAAGATTATAGTTCATACTAGTATACTTCTCCTATACATTTCAATTTTCATTTCAATACTGAACATATTGGTAAGTTATATTTTTATATCATAATACAATTTCAGAGAATTTTAATTTTTCAGGCTCTCTTTTTGGATATTCAACAGATATAATTCAATGTTCGACGTGGCAAAAAGACAGGAAAGAAGTTGTTTTCTGTTGAATATTCAGATTGATATTATGAGCATATCTTTATATGAGGGAGAATGCGAATTCTATACTTTAGGAGATTTTGTTTTCAAATTCTTATCGCGTGTGATATAATTCAATGTTCGTCGTGGCATATAGCCAGGAAAGTAGTTGTTTTCTTTTGTATAAACCGAAAAAGAATTATTATTGTCATCACACGGAGAATGCGAATTCTCAATGTATTTCTTCATATATAGGTATATCCATTTTTTTTTGTGTTCATAAATATATCTGAGAATATTCCTTTTCAATACTGTCTACCTAATTTCCGAAATCATCAGCGTCCTATAACTAACTATACAGCCGTGTTGACGTTAACCGCGAAGATATTTCCTACAATTTGATATGTCATTTATTTTTCACATAATGATGAATATCGAGATGTGATGATTCCGTGTGCCAGACAGACATGGCTAGGCTCACTGAACAAGAAACCTAGATAAAAGATATCCTTTAAGAGCCATGAAAAACATGGTGTTTTTTTTTAGTACATGCCCTCCCTCTCATGATTAACTAATCTCTGCATTTAAGTATCACGAGAAGGTATCAATGAGCGAGTCTGCCAATGAATTTGGCGAGAGGATATTTACATAGAATACTTGGTCAAATATGAAATAGCCATCTCAGTCTTAAGTCATATTCGAGTGACAGTAATTATATGTTAGGAATATATCTAAATAACAAAATAACCAATTCTACTTGCATTCTCACCAATATTTTGTAGTTATAAGAAGAAGCTGATGATTACCAATGAAATTCGAAAAATAAATATATATCCTTTTTTGTATGTTCATAATTCATCTGAGAATATTCCTTTTCAACAATAAATACCAACTTGGTCTTGAAGGTGCCTCAAAGTGATCGATTTGAATCCTCAGATTTGATAACTATATATCATAATGAATACGTTTCTACTTGATAATAATCAATTGAACATTGCTTCGGCTTCCATTACGTAGGTACCTAATACAGAAGGGTGAGATTACGGCGAGAGCTTCTACTAGGGCTATCAGAGGGCTTCAACCAAATTTCAACTGACTCGATCCTCATAGCTTGATGGCATATAATACTCTTTCAATTATTTCGAGTCGAAAGTGCTCTATACATTTTTGTCCAAAACTATATAGTTGAGTAGTAATGAGTAATATCAAATTCAACAAAGTGGGTCATGAAGCAAAGTTTACCCACCCAACTTTAATTGAGGTTTTTCTTCAAAATACCCCCCTGCTGCTTAACAACACATTCTGGCTTGTCTAATTATTGAAAACGTTGCTCTTTGAGGAGAATCTGGGTCGTCTCCTATAAACGCAGCTGTAGTCATGATATTTTGAATCAGGTCATCTGTGATTTGTAGTTTATTTGAATACACTAAATTTTTCATGAGTTCCCAAAGATATCATCCACTGGTGAGCAAAGTTAACTATTGAGTTTTTAGACAAAAGTGTATGAGGAATTTCCGACTTGACATTGTTGAAGGAATATGCCCTTAAGCTACGGCAATCGAGTCACGGGACACCCTGTATAAGAAAGATAATGTTTATTATCTCCCAGATGTGAGATATTTTTTTACTGCTTGGTGCGCACGAAAGGAAATCCCTATAATGTTCGAAGAACATCGTGCGTACCTAGGGAGGATAGAGAAAGGAGGTAGAGTTGTTGAAATGAAAATGATGAATTTATAAAATGACAGCAAAATGCTCATAATTAATGACTGAGCAATAGTTCACAGAACCAGCATAATCCTCATTATAATGACTTAAGATAAGGTGATCTGTATAAATTCGCCTCATATATTTTCTTCAGAATAACGATGTAGGTGAGAGTACTTTTTTCCAGGTACCGCACATCGAGCTTTGACAAAATTCAGCAGAGCATATTATTATGTGTATGCTTTGTGATATTCCTCTGCAGAAATATACAGGGTGTCTGGAGATGAGACAGACAGAACTTATGGGGTTATAGGGCCTGCCAAAATGATTCCAAAATGCCATATACGGATGTCCATGAAGTCCATAACCGCTTTGATACTGACATACAGAGTGATTTGTGGATTCGGAAAAAAATCAATCTGTCATATTGAATAAAAGGATTACCCGATTGGATTCAAATTTGGTACAAAAATTAAACTCAAAGTATTCAACAAGTAACGTTTCGAACGAAGCCAATATCAGGACCGGAATATTATTTTTTGCCTATGGTGAGTTAATGTGAGAATAACTCACACTGTATATTAAATATCAGAAATCTAAGGTCATATTATGAATCTACAGAAAAAAATACAATGGGAATGTTGAGGAAGTTTCTAACATAATGTCAGTCATCCCGTAATAACTTATAATTCTAATGTTTTTCATTAATTGTCGGCTAAAATATCATCAAAAATGGGAATATGATAAATATTTACGAAACCACGACATAATTGATGTTACTCTCTTATATAACTTCATGTATAGAAATATTTTATAAATTACTCTCGTAACCTATGAATACTGAAGAATACATTCGTATGAGGACCGGAATGACTCTTTTCCATGAACTTGTAAGTTGAGTTGTAAGTATAGGGTGTCCCTAGAAGATCTCTACTAAATCTCAGCACATATTCCTGAGGTCTAAATAAACCGATTCGAAGCAACTTATCTCAGTCCGAAATTGCCCCATTTCCGAGATACAAGGTGGTGCATATCATTAAAAAAATTAGTAGACAATGGCTCTTTACGATGCGGAATCCGAATACTGACATATTTTCACTGTGGCCATCCATCAGAGGGCGCTTATACCAATGCACTTTATATGGTTTAGAGGGGCCATAACTTACTTCTTAATGTACCGTTTTATTTTATAAATATTTTTCTAAGCAAAAAGGGTACTCTTGTGAAAATTCGCTATAGTAAGCACATTTCAAGATACTTTGGTTTTGGGGGTTCGATGCCGCACCGGAATATTTAAATTATTCCGAATAAAAAATGCATGTTTGCAGTTTGTTCCGTTTCTGCATCATTTCATTAATTAAATATTATTATTCTGCTACGCCACTGTCCCGATCAAATTCCTACTTTATGATAAAAATATTTGGTATTCTTCTTTGTGATAACTTTTCGCGGGTACCTATATCCATTGACAAGAGGTACCATGTGGTCACCCCCTCCATGGTGCGCAATGCGTACGGAGAGAAGCAGTGCGAAGAGATGACATGAGAACGGGACGATACGAAGTGCTATTTTTGTTTTTGGTAATAAGTCATTTTCCCTAAATTTGAAATTTACTCAACGCAGCTTCACAATAGTGAAAAATACTCAGTGAAGTACAACCCTACTCATAAACAGAGGTGCAGTTAGTGCTCTTGCTCCTGAGGCAGCCGCCGAGCAGAAACCAACAGAAGAACCAAAACCACGCCGGTTCAACAGGTGAGTGGCCATTTCGAATGCTTCTTGTCAATGTGCGAAAATCAATCAAGAAATCGATAACGAAATTTACAGTCCACTGTTTCTTTCTCGCCCATAGTAAATGGTCCTTCGAGCCGGATTTTTTTTGCATTGAATTTCATTAAGTAATTTCGAAATTAGGTCATATCGCGAAATAATTAATTAGTATCCATAAATTAGGAATTTCGACCGGTAGCCATCAAATCGTTTGATCGAAATCGCGCACTCGCTGAAAGTTCTGGATCTGGACACGCCTCCATCGGTTCAGTATCTCGCAGGTGCTCTGCCGAGACTTCCAGCACTATCAGGCGACATTGTTATTGTTTACGTTTTGTAAAACTCGAAGATTTCACGTCGTATTATTTTCGTGAACTATATTATCATATACTCTCTTTAGTTATTTAATAGGTAACAAATAATTGTAACTCGCACCTCTACTCAGTTTGAATATGCTCTACTCTCAATAAAGTGTATTTTATAAACAATCTCGTAAGCAACAAGGTATTGTACACGTAGGTACTTCCGAACTGTTCACTTTATTCTAATAGGAGAACAAGTGAGTTAGAAAAATAAACTCCACTTTGCATGGTGCTCCACTCTGTATTTATGAATTTCTCGTTCTTTCTGTCGACACTATATTTGTGCATATCTAATTTAAATTCTTCTGCTGGTATTTCAATATTGTGAAGTTGAAGTTTCAAGTAATCCTCACATATTCACTCTCACTTTTTTCGTTCACAATAAGTAATAAGAATTGAGTAATCTAATAGTGAATAGAGATGGCTTCGTCTCTGACTG